CCATAAAAGGTATTATTTCAAACCTGTTTGTTACCAGCTTCTTGTAGGAATATTTCGCAATTAAGTCACGTTTAAGCATTAAACTCAGTCATACATATTCAATGAACGTTTAACAGTAACTTGAGAACTGTTTAAGAACGGATTTGCGATTACAATTTCGTTACTTCTGCATGTGTAAATAAGTTGCAAACTATTTATGTTCAAAGTTTAGCCATCAACTAACCATTATTTTTTTTAAAACATACACACTCCTAAAAAGGCAAGGGTCGTCGCATCATAATTCCAAATTCGAAATGCTAAATGGTACGTGGGACGACGAATTTATCTTCTTGCGCCGTAAGCGAATCGCAAAAAAAACTTGAAACTCACGTACCTTTCCGTGATTTCCAATAAAGTTTCCTCAAGTAATAAGCAGCTGCTACCAACAGTATTGCTGCAATAAAGGCACCAATTGCTGCGCCTGCGACACTGCCAGCACCATAGCACGTAGCAGCCTCTTGGCCAAAAACACAAGGCACAAAAACGGTCACAAACAATAACAAATTAATAAAAACACCCATTTTTTAATCCACACAAATTAACATCACTGTATATGGCACATAGATGGTTTGACGACGGACACCGATTACATTCCAAAAAAAAATTGAATTTATCGAATTCAGAATGCGAAACTTTTTTGCGTGACGATAAAGACGTGCGCCGCGTCAGCTAGCGCGGTCGACTGTGGCCGCCGGGCCGTTCGTGTCGTTTCGGTTGTGAAAAGGCTGTGATTGTGGGACAGAGAGAGAGCGTGTGTGAAGAACGTGTTTGGATTTGGACAGCGGATCATGTGCATTAGCACGATGGATACAATATGTACCTGTGATTGTGATGGGTCCACGGATACACAATAACAACGGACAAAAAATTCAATTAAAAAATATAAGACTCCCGTTGTTTTATAACCTTCCTCGATAAAATTAAATTGACTAGTATAGACTTAGACAGGTAGGGTAGGTACCTGACTTACTGATTATCTAGCTACTATATTAAAGTAGCTACTTACAATCGAAAATCAGCTGAAATAGGTACCTAGATTATTGTAAAACAAAGATTATAACATGTAACGATAGGTACCTATAAAAATCTAACTGTTATATGGTTTAATGACAAAATGTAAATAAAAATACCACGTGGTCCCGTCACAAAGATGCGCATACACACCTGTGCTGTGACTAGTAGAAGCAAGTGAAGCGCAGGTACATACGACACACACGCCGACACAAAACTCACTCACACACTTCAACTAGGTACCTGTGTACATACATAACGTATGATGAGCATAGTTTGTTGTGTTGTGTGATGCTTGTGATCTCCGATCCGATGTAGCGACATAATCACCTTTTTTATGAGAATCAGGTTCTGTCGTATCACCCAACTATAACTATAAGCAGTGTAATAGAAAACAGTGATTGTAAAAAAATAAAAACGTAAAATAGAACTAAGATATTTTTTATCTGTAAGGTAGCTAGCATAGCACCAAGGCTACAATGTGTTATTATTCTGTGGTTTGGTGACGTGATAAGATGTCAATAATGCGAAAATGAAAAATATTTAGGTACCTACCTAAATATTTGACAAATTTTTCTTATCTTTGACTGCTTTTTTATTAATGTTTGTATTTATTTTTTCTCTATGTGTTATAATAATATTATTAATGGTGTACAATAAATATTACTCTATTCAATTCTATTACAATTTAACTGATTTTTATCTTGCATTGCTTTTGTTATTGATTTCATTGAAGGTAAGTAATTTTTTTTTCTCGAATAGCGTGTCAAAATGTGTACCCTCCGAATCTTATTATGTTGTGCCCGACAGGGTCCACATTGTGACCTAATTGCGTTTACCACCTAAGTTATATATGTGGAAAGCAATAAAGAATTGAGTATTGAGTACTTAGCTTACCTACCTATGTTATTTAGGCTAGTGTAAGTACACACGGCTACACATCGAGCTTTACATAACCAATATAAACTGAACGTTAAATGTGCGGAAAGATGATGCGACGCGACATCAGTATAAACTGGTTTTGTATAGATTGATGTGTGGCCGTGTATTCCTTGTCAAATAAACAAATTGATTGTTGTAAAAAGAAAGGTTTGACTGTGATGGATATAGTAAGGAAGGAGATATGGTGTGACTATGGAGTACCTACTGTTATATGTATATACTTACATGTATTTTTTGTGGTAATCACTAAATGCCTTTTTCATCCTCCCACCATGGCATGGTGCATGGTCATGTTTTTATGCGGATAAGGCGATAAACGAGCAGACGGATCACCCTGATGGTCATAAACAATCGGCGCCGCCCATGGACACCCGAAATACCAGAGGCGTTACAAGTGCATTGCCGGCGTTTTGGGGGTTAGAAATTTGAGGATTGTTGGGTGATTGGAAATTGGGGAGGGGGGTAATTGGGCTTCCGGTAACCTCACTCACACGATGAAACACAATGCAAGCGCGGACTCACCCCGGTTTTCTGTAAGGTCCCTTTTTTTTTTAAGAGGGGAAAATCATCGATTGACTGCTCCCGCGTGGGTGAGGCGGAAGGGAGTGTCAGACTCTTACTGACTAAAAACCACCATGTTCCTTTTCCTGCACGTCGAGCCGGAGCCCCGGTTACCCGTTAGGTTCTCCGCGACTTCTGTAAGGTCTTGGTGTATCACTCCGGTCGAGCCGGTCTATTCGTAGCAAAACATGGCTCTCCCATAAGTCTTGCGTTTCATTAAATGAAATACCATTAACAAGTTTCGCAAGAAATATTTATATTTAGATATAGACTTATAGTAATAAATTATTATAAAATCTTGAATCGTAATTCACCATAACTTGTCTAGTTACTAGCTAGCTAATAATATATAAAGTTATTGGTAAGTGTTACTAAAATATTCAGAATTCCGGTTTTTCTACATTACCTGTAGAATATCACGCCTTTTATTCCCGAAAGGGTAGGCAGAGGTGCACATTACGGCGTTTAATGCCATTGTAATGTAACACCCACTTTTCACTATTTATGTTATGAGTCCCATGTAATAGGGGGTGAGCCTATTGCCATATACCGGGCACAGTTCCAGACTCCGTGCTACCACTGAGAAAAACCCAGTAATACTTTGCCCGACCCGGAAATCCAACCTGAGAGCCCTTGCCCGGCAGTCGCACTTGCGACCTACCTGTGATCTATACCTACTTATAATAAATCTGTAGAGGTCAATTCTGTACACGAAATATATTCCCAAAATAACTATCAGGGGGTGATTAGTGATCGATACTAATGCCAAAAATGCAATCAATAACATTTTTGTCTGTCTGTTTGTCTGTATGTATGTTCCTTATAGAAATAAAAACTACTCGACGGATTTTAACGAAACTTGGTACAATTATTCTTCATACTCCTGGGGAGGTTATCATAGATTCGTCGTTGATTCGTACACCGTAGTGAATCATCGATTCGTCGTTGATTCGTACACCGTAGTGATATACGATAGTATCGATTGTTTTAATATTCATCACTTGTTTAAAGAAAATATCTCATCAACCGCTTCAAGTGAAAGCCGCAATGTAATGCGAAAATTTAGTTTTCCTCTAATTTGGTATTACCCGGAATTACTGAGAGTATTAATTAAACTTAAAATAATAGTTTTTAAATTAATAACGGCACAATTAACCATTTTAATATTTTTAACTGACGTCCGACTAGCAAAACACATAGATGCAGACTGAGCGCGAAAGTGGCATCTTACGGTTTTTGATCGTAAGCTAGGCACGCGAAGTAGTTGCTCTTGCGTTATCCAGGTCTATCTATATCTGTGGTTGGCGGTTCCTCTATTGATCAACGTCCGTACATTGCAGGAATGGTGCAAATTCAGAGAACACGCATATTCATGTTTTCCAGATTCCACAAACGATTACAACTTCGGGCATTACTTCTTATAATGACCTATTTTGACCACCTACTCTCTCTAGATCTAGATCTTGTTTCTAAACTAGTAGCGACATAATTTATATAACTGCATAAATATTTACCACTTAAAATTAATTACAACTAAACTATTAAATAAAAAGAAAGTAAAAAAAAGAAAAAGAAAACAACAAAAATTATACCCTTAATTTAGGCGTCAAAGTATTCGTCCGCATCACTATCACAGGGGAAAGTTCCCAGAAGACTGGCAGCATTGCCACGTTGAATGGCAATGCTTATTTTCTGTCCGAAGAAAAAGCCAGCCCTCTGGTCACGTGTAGAGTCGATTAGCCTACGGGCGATATCTTTAAACACAGAGTGTGCACTGGGACCCCATGGTCCAAGTGTTTCGACCCCAAACGGCTCAAAACAGTAGTTACCCACTAGATTTGAATATTTACGCCGTTTGAGGGCCTCTGCCGCGGAAGCAGCTGCACCAACGCATGCAGCGGTGCTTAAAAGATGTGATGACGCAAGGGTGTCTACACACGTCGCGTCCCACACCAAAGGCCTACCCATCTTCCAAGGCAGCAACGACATACCATCTGGTCTTTTGCCGTCATCACGTACCAAACCATTAGGTTCTAATACGGCTGGTACACCGGCTGAGGCAAGAGCACGACGAATGATGTCGTTGATGCTGGCATGGCGAGCTATTTACTTAGTGATGATAATAATGAATATATTAGAAGTAGCGACATCTAGTGCTACAAACACGAAACATAGCTTAGTGCTGTAGTTACACTAATCTAATCACTTAATTTTAATCCAGTCGATTATTTAATTGATGTCAAAATAATTAAGCTGTAAATAACCGTTTTAAGCTATTTAGATTTTAACATTCTATATTAAAGTATAACATTTATTATCAAAACAAATACTAAATCGTGTTGTCGACATGAATCACTGTGAAATTTGAAAATGAAACCGAATACTCAGACATCATATGTTGATTTTAGAATAATCGACTAAACGAAGAATCTACTAATCTAGACATCCCTAAAACAGCGACATTTTAATCTGACGTTTGACTTTGATTTTCTCCGAAATTTATTAATTACCGGCAGAGTAATTTTTCGTTGAAGACAGTTGTTTATTCGTACATACAATACTTGTATGTTTCCATTAACATGGAAAACGATATATTGGATTCATTAAACGATTTGGGGTAAGATTTCTTATGCAGTTATAGGTTATATATGCTTTACTTTGATCTATATACTTACCTATATAGCATTAAAAATATAATAATATGTTTTATTATATTACTATATATTTTTGCAATGTTTCATGCATTTTAAACATATTAAATTTATGTTTTGTACAATATTATTACGCTTATAAGTGTTTTAATTAGCTATAACGTGGCTAGAATAGTTTGGTCTGAAAAATAATCAATATGTTAACTTATTAGATTTTGTTGCGTTGGCGAATAATTTAAACAATGACTATCTTTACTGTACCTATAATCAACAGATGATATAAATAATAATATTAGTCATAAATTGAATTAATAATATAGGGATGTACTACTTTCCTATATCAATTATCATTTTAGATCTATGGACTTATTTGTTTTTTTTCAATATGGCATAAACTAAGGTCAATGTGTAAACAGCCAATATACATTTCAGAAAAAATGCAATTGTGTTTATTATCATGAAATTTTTGGCAATACTGATAACATCCAATGTTTAATGTTGTTTCTCTTCAATGAGTCATGTAGTTATTAAGTTGTGCAACATAAAGAAATGGTTTATTAACTCGTCGAGTACCGGTTTTATAGACACAATTAAAGAACAATAGGTCGCGGTCACCGGTGACCGCTTGGTGTTTGACAGATTAAAATTAATAAAGTACATATTTTCAAATAATTTTTTGAAATAATTACAATCTGATTTAATTACAATCAAATAATGTAGTACTAATAAGTAAATATTATTTTTAATATTGTGTAAAATATTGTATTTGGCTTATAATTATAGTTTCTTCTTTCTTATTAGATAATAACCTGATGTCTTATGAAAAATTACATTATTATTTATGTTAATTATCATCATCATCATCAACAGTCTATAAATGCCCACTGCTGAGCAAAGCCTCTTCTCACATTAATCACCACACTTGCTCAATGGGGGTTGGTGATTTCAAACTTATATTTAGAAATTATAAGCCCAAGTTTCCTCACAATGTTTTCCTTCACCGTTTGCCAATGGTGTCTGAATAATCTTAGAAAGTACATATAACTCGGAAAAGTCACACTGGTACTTGCCGTTGGTAGGTTTTGAACTTGCACCCTCATGCATGAGAAGTGGGCGTCTTAAATCTTCGGGCCACGGAAGGTTAAAAAAAATAAAATTCATTGTTAAAAAAAATATAAATTGTTCTATACATCTTATTTAATCTGTCAAACACCAAGCGGTCACCGGTGACCGCGACCCATTGTTCTTTAATTGTGTCTATAAAACCGGTACTCGACGAGTTAACACCCACACCCACATATAGGTATGACCATTTATTTAGTTTATGAGCCTACATGGCTCTTGATGATGGCTGGCATAGAAGATGAGCCTATAATTTAATTTCACATTACAAATCAACAACATACTAAAGGCAGAGGCCTTTAGTCAGCAGTGAGAAGAGTCTCACACTGAGAATGTTTGAGAATTAATCACCACACTTGCTAAATGTGGGTTGACGATTTTAAACCTAAATCTGAAATTAAAAGTCAGGTTTCCTCACAATGTTTTCCTTCACCATTTGTCAGAGGTGTTAAAATAATCTTAGAAAGTACATATAACTCGGAAACTTGCCGTTAGTAGGTTTCAAACCCTGTCCTCAAACATGAGAAGCGGGCGTCTTAAACTTCCAGGCCACTACAATATTTTTCAGATCTAATTTACCCATGAATATTTCAGGTATGAAGGCCCTCTCACAGATGAAGCCACCTTCGCCAAGGCCCTGGATGGTGGACCGAAGTCACTGGACTTCACAAAATTGGTCCACATATTAGCCGAAGAGATTAAAAGTCTGTGCAATTTGGAGGAGACGGTGAACATGATGAATGATCCCGATGAATCCAGCTCATTCCTACTCGAGCTAAGTTCCTTTTTGAAGGAACTCAAGTGTCCATATAAGAAATTGGTTACAGGTATAAAATACTTTTAATACTTTTGCTAATTTCCTAGAAAAGAGAATTCTAGTGAGAAGTAAAATTTTTTGTGCTGTCACTCTCTTTACCCCCAAACACTTAGGTACAGGTGTACCTAAGGTAGATACAGGTGTTTGGTGACAGATTATAGTACAAAAGGAAAAAAAACAAACATAATATATAGTCCGGTCAATTTAGACCAAAAAATGAGAGTGAAGTTACATAAAGTCCCAACAAGCTGAATTTTTGTGAAGTTGTTCAAAACATAATTATAAACAATGTCTAGAAGTTCCCCATCATTCCCCTGTAAGGAAAAAATTTAATTCAAGGTCAAAGGTCAAAAAAATGAGATTTTCGCAATTTTCAGCAAAACGGTAAGTTTTATCATAAAAGTACCTCAGACAAAAATTGTAGATCATAAATTTATCTATAAAAATGTATCAATACTTTTTTCTTACGAGCCACCGTTTCTGAGATATAACGATTCTAAAAGTTATAAAAGTTGTTATCGTCATAATATGCACACGTTTCCGCGCCACCTATGAGGTAGTGTACTTAGCGCGTTTTTGTTAACGTGGTTTCCCCAGTAGGCCACTAGCCACTCCACGGGTCAGTTGTGATCCTGTTTAATGTAAAACTATTGCAAAATAACGGAAATTTTCAAAGATTGGGAAAGATAAAAGCGATGTATATAAAAAAAGTTTTGAAGTTTATTCGTCTTATTCGTAAGTTTCAAATTCTTGTTCTTCTTCTTGATCTTCTTCTTGATCTTCTTCTTGATCTTCTTCTTGTTCTTCTTCTCCTGCTTCTTCTTCATCTTCATTTTGGATGCATGTAAATTGCGTCAATAGCGATGTATCGCATGATACTTCGTCGGTGTCAAACGAATCCTCCATTGTTTGTGATTCAATATTAGAGCACGACCAGCCTTGACAATTTGTGCATGCCAAAGAACAAGACAGTCCGATTTTTTTGCAACTACATTTAGAACTGCATCCCTTTTTGCAATTGCAAAAAATAGTGTTCAGCAGTTTTTCTGGCGTAGGTGGAAGTAAAGTTTGATCTGGCTCTAATATATTGTTGACCAACTTCCAACCCCAGTCTGTAGGGTCTAGCTGATAACCAAGCCACACTTGAACTTAGTAATATACTCGAAGATGTTGGTGAGCAGCAACTGAGGTTGGAGGAAGACAAGCTAATTGAACTTGTTATTTATTTTTAGTAGTTTTAACGAAACATGCATATCGATGTTTATCTAAACAGGTAGTTTTTTTAGGAGTTCCGTACATAGAAAGAAGAAAGCGGATGCCGTTGGTAATAACTTCTTGTTGAGTTGAATCACTTGTTTAAAAACTTCAGCACATTGATTGAATTAATAACAACTTTCATAACTTTTAGAATCGTTATATCTCAGAAACGGTGGCTCGTAAGAAAAAAAGTATTGATACATTTTTTATAGATAACTTTATGATCTACAATTTTTGTCTGTGGTAGTTTTATGATAAAACTTACCGTTTTGCTGAAAATCGAGAAAAACTAATTTTTTTGACCTTTGACCTTGAATTAAATTTTTTCCTTACAGGGGAATGATGGGGAACTTCTAGACATTGTTTGTAATTATGTTTTGAACAACTTCATAGAAATTCAGCTTGTTGGGACTTTCATGTAACTTCGAATGTCTAAATTGACCAGACTATATAACATCACGCTTTTTTATTCCCGAAGGGGTAGGCTAGAGTAGTCTTTTCACTATTTGTTATGAGTCCCATGTAATAGGGGGTGCGCCTATTGCCATATACCTGGCACATTTCCAGACTCCGTGCTACTACTGAGATTTTTTTTAAAACCCAGTAATAATTTGCCCAACCCGGGAATCGAATCCGAGGCCCCTTGCCTGGCAGACGCACTTGCGACCACTCGACCGACGAGGCAGTCAAAGACAAATAAATAAAATAATATTAGCTATTGGCTCTGTATTAAGTCTATCTTTATTTTCTTAACCATTGGTTGTGGGTACTGAACCGACCAATGGTTAAATAAGATTGTGACAAGGTTAAAAATTAAATAATTTAGTATAATAATAGCTTAACTACAGTCCCTATACTAATCTTTATTTTCTTACCAGCACAATGTACGCTTACTTATATCATTAGTGCAGTTATTAGTTCCACGTTATAAATAGCCTATTACCATTATATCGGGCACAATTTGAATTCATGCTACTACTGAGATGGTTTTAAAAACTGGAAGAAACTGGATAAACCTATGAAAAGTGAATAGGGCACTAAAAGATGAATTAATAATATTCTTTTTCTAGGTCACATGTCTTCCCGCCTACAGACAAAAGAGGATCGGCTGTTGCTACTAGATTATTTAATATCGGAACTGATGGCTGCAAGGATGGTCAATGTAGACGGTCCTAAAGATAAGCAGGCGGCTGGCATGGAAATTGTAGTTGTAAGTTAATTATATTACTTTTGTGTTTGTTTGGTTGAACATACTAATCTCCGGAACTATTGGACCGATTCGACAACAGAAAATGAGAAAACATAACATCACGCCTTTTACCCCCGAAGGGGTAGGCCCAGGTGCACATTACGGAACTTAATGCCACTGTACAATTTAACACCCACTTTTCACAATTTATGTTATGAGTCCCATGTAACAGGGCAGGCATGTAACGATATCCGATTTGAATAATTGAAGATAATGTCAATAACAAATTGGGATGCATGGCACGGCTAGCGCAGTGGCCAAGTATCTGTAAGGCCAGTGATCTATTAACATTATTAGCTTATTTTCAATTTTATTTCATTTACAGCAAGAATCTCCAACAGCGAGGGACCTAAAGAACATCTTGATTGCATTGAAATTTAACAAACCACCTCCAAATATTACGGCTGAGATGTTGTTCGCTAAACTTGAAGCTAAACTCAAGGAGACCATACAGAAAGAAGGTAATACATTTTTAATTGAACTTTCAGTTCGAACTGACGGATCACCGAATGCTAAGCAATAGTAATCGGCGACATCCGATAACGTAGTATTATTTTTGAGTCTAAAGCCAAGGACACACTGGGGGACAAAATGTCCCAAGACATTTATGGGCAACATGTCGAGTGAGTATCGTGAGACATACTAAATTAAGTAAAATCGCGGGTTACTCACGTGAATATACCGAGAAATGCTCTACTAGTTTCGAACCACAGAGGGATTCTTCCTCATGAGCAGCGTGCGCGGTCGCGGCGACCGCCGTTTTTACTTAATGTCGAGTGAGGCCAACAACGCGCGCCTTATATTGTGTATGTGTATGTACAGCGACGTTGATGTTGCCAGTTGCCGGACATGTCGACCAAAGTCCGGCAACGTCGCGCTACTTCACCCGACGTCGCTGCCGACACGTGTCGCAGTACATTCGACCATAGTGTATAATAAAATTATCACGTCTTTTATCCCCAAAGGGGTAGGGACAGATGCACATTATACCACTGTACAATGTAACACCCACTTTTCACTATTTATGTTATGAGTCCCATGTAATAGGGAGTGAGCCTATTACCACATACCGGGCGCAGTTCCAGACTCCGTGCTACTACTGAGAATTTTTTTAAAACCCAGTAGTACTTTGCCCGTCCCTGGAATCGAACCCGAGACCCCTTGCCCATCCATTGTGTCGCACTTGCGACCACTCGGCCAACGAGGCAGTCCATAGTGTATCCTTCGCTTTATTACTAAGAAAATAAGCTAGACACAATCGAAAATCAAATAACCGTCAAATCAATTAATGAAACTTTGACTATTTTTGAATCTTTTATTCTATTGAGTAGTCGAAATGATTATCTTATGAGATAAGCCGCTAAACGAGCTGACGGATCACCTGATGGTAAGCAATCGGCGTCGCCCATGGACACCTGGAACACCAGAGGCGTTACAAGTGCGTTACTGGCCTTTTGGGATTAGGAATTTGAGGAATGTCGGGGACTCGAAGGATTGAAAAAGGGGGGGAGGGGTAATTGGGCCTCCGGTAACCTCACTCACGCGATGAAACACAACGCAAGCGTTGTTTCACGTCAGTCTTTTGTGAGGCCGTGGTATCACTCCAGTCGGGCCGGCCCTTTCGTGCCGAAGCATGGGTCTCCCACACTCGAATTGGGTAGTTTCCAGGGTATCAAAAATAAAAATCTAATTAGTCCGTCAGTTAGACAATGAAAAATAATCAACACGTATTTTTTTATTTTCTCGTATTAAGTTGCAATACTTAGATAAAATGGCGCTAAGTTTAGTAGTGGGAGGTTGTGCTACAAAATATGGCACGTTGTGACGTCACACGATATTTCAAATGAATATATCGTCGAAAGTATTTAATTTTGTGAGAAAAGAAAAAATGCGCGTCTAATGTTTTAAACATTAATTTAAAACATTAGACGCGCATTTTTTCTTTTTACCAGACGGACATTAAAATAAAATTTGGGAAACTACCCTATTATTATTGATTGACTATTTTCTTAGCTTCTTACTCAAAATATTTTGCTTTGTATTTGTCCAGGCAACCAGCTGGTGGGCAAACCTTTGTATAACAAGGCACTATCGGAGAAGGAATGGAAGCAACTGGAGAGTGCCTTCAACGAAATGTTTGAGGAGTATCGGCTGAGGAGGGAAACACTCATCACTCGTTTGGAGTGCACTATACAGAGTTTTGAGGTACGATTATAAGGGATAGTGTGATAAACGAGCAGAATGATCGTGGAAGAATGATGATGGTAAGCAAGGGGGGTTACTGTATTGTTGCTAACTAGATGGCGCCAGTGTGCTCCTCCCGTTCGGATTAGCTATTACAAACTCATAATTAGAGATTATAAGCTCAGGTTTCCTCACGATGTTGCCCTTCACCATTTGTCAGTGGGGTCTAGATAATCTTAAGGTTGTACGGTCAAAGGTCAAAAGACCACCGTAAGACTATTATCGGTTGCGGTGCAGCGCTTATACACATATGCACACGCGAATTTATATCTGTGTGCGTACGAGTGCGTGTGTTTATGCGTACGCACGCGTTTTTATGGACATTAATATGAAATTACTTAGTTCTAGTGTTACACCATAGGACGTTCAATAATTGCCGCGGAAGACTTAACGGGTTGCCGGGGCTCCGGCTCGAAGTGCAGTAGTAGGAACGGGGTGGTTTTTAGTCAGTAAGAGTCTGACACTCCCTCCCGCCTCACCCAGGCGGGAGCAGTCATTGGATGATTTTCCTCCCTCAAAAAAAAAGGACGTTCAATAATTGATAGCTGCAGTGATTGAACAAAAAAATTCTCTTGCTAGATTTGCGTAGTCTGGTGAACGGTAGCCCCCGTTGGAGCTGCCCATGGACTCAATACAATGTCAGAGGTGTTACAAGTGCGTTGCCGACCTTTTAGGGATTGCGAATTCGGATCGAGGATTGGAGATTGAGGATTTTTTTTAAATATATTTCATGGGCCCACGGGAGAAGTGAGGATTGGGCCGTTGTTTCACGCCGGTTTTCTGTGAGACCGTGGTATCACTCTTGGTGGAACAGATATTGTTTTCATAACATACCTAATTTATGTATACAAATACAACGTACACGACTGTCGATCGAGGCATAACCATTTTAACATGATCTCTCTTTGTACGATCTTGCCGCGCATTCAACGATCAGTTCATACTGGTTTTGCATAGGTCGAGGTTTCATAGTACGTATAATCTGAACTAACACACTTTACTGACTGCATTTTCTTTTTGTTCACCTATTACTCCGCCAATTGTAGACTGCACGGTTGGTGTGGTGGCTGGGCAATCGGCTGCCGCGTAACGTGTCGCGGGTTCGATTCTCGCACGGAACAACTCTGTGTGTTCCTAAATTGGTGTTCCGGGGCTGGGTGTCATGTGTCTGTGATATTCTATGTTTGTAAACGTACCCTCGACACAGGAAAAAAGCTGAGTGTGGGGCGACGTTTAAAAAACAAATGTGTACCGAATAAGCTAAGCTTATACTCCCGAGTAGGTCCCATTTTCACTAGATCAGGAGATCCTGATCAGATGATGATGGGATCTTACTTTTTTTTATGGCATAAGCCGGTAAACTAGCAGACGGATTACCTGGTGGTAAGCAATCGGCGTCGCCCATGGACACCTGGAACACCAGAGGCGTTACAAGTGCGTTACCGGCCTTTTGGGGATTAGGAGTTTGACGATTCAGGGATTAGGGAGATTGGGGAAGGGGAGGGTAATTGGGCCTCCGGTAACCTCACTCACACGACGAAACACAACGCAAGCGTTGCTTCACGTCGGTTTTCTATGAGGCCGTGGTATCACTCCGTCGAGCCGGCCCATTCGTGCCGAAGCAAGGCTCTCCCACACTTAAACTCCCACTCTTAGGGAAACTTTCGAAAATTGTAGGAGCAAGTAATGAGTCTGTTATTTTTTATAATAAATAGTTTGTTTTAAGCACTAGAATTTAATAATTTTATCCTCCAACAGTGGTCGGACCGTCTCAAAACGAAGAGAGATGTAATTCAGTCAACTTATCGTCCCAAACGAGAATCTTTGAAAGTCAAGCCGGACGTCAAACTGGCCGACTTCTTAGCAGCTAGGACTTCATTGTTGCAAGTAGAGAAGACGTCAAACGCATCAGTAAGGAAGAATACTCAAACCGATGTCAACAAAGTTATTATTGGTCAGGTTAGTAAATTGATCTTTATTACATACATACATGATTATGTTTGACAGCGATTGCTGTCCCCCGTGATTTAATTTCAATTCATTTATTAATTAAATAATTTACATACGTTGTATCTGAATGTCTTCATAATCATAAATTACATTGCAATATAAATCCCAGCAGCATGGATCACTCAAAAAAAGCATAAAAGAACAATTAAAATAATAATAAAACGATAAATAATCTAATACAACATAACAAATCCAATTTTAAGAAAGAAATTACATTAAGAGTGTGTTAATTAAAATGTGTTTCTTTTAGGTACCAGATAGAGGGGGCAGGCCCAATGAACAACAACCCCCTCCCCCAGAAATGCCTTCGTGGACGCAGAGAAATGCTGTAAGTACTCATAGTATATTGGCTAATCCGTCGCGGCTTTACCCGCTTTGTTCAGTTCTTCTCGCATCTCTTTCTCTCGTTCTCGCATCGGGATGCTTTATAGCCTATGGCCTTCCTCGATAAATGCACCGTCCAATACAAAAAGAATAGGTACATACCTTATTTTTATTTTAATGTCCGTCTGGTAGATTATTTTAAATCATTAGACACGTATTTTTTTTTTCTTACAGAAACGAATACTTTCGACGATATATTGATTTGAAGTGTCGCGTGACGTCACTTCTATGTACATTTTATACGTAGAAATGACGTTTAGCTCCTACTCCTAAACTTTAATTCGTTCTAAGTATTATTTTATTATACGACAAAATAAAAAAAATACGTGTTAATACTTTTTCGTTGCCTAACTGACGAACTAATTAGTCAATCCTTAATTTTCATACCCTGTCATCATCCCTATTATTCAAATTGGACCAGTAGTTCCCGAGATTAGCATGTTCAAACTAACATTAGTATAGATAGTTATCTTATACATGGCTTGGGAGAGCCATGCTTCAGCACGAATGGGCCGGTTCGACCGAAGTGGTACCACGGCCTCACAGAAAACCGACTTTTTTTTATACTTTATAGGTCGACGTTTGACCACCATCTCGCCTGATGGTAAGCGATGATGTGGCCGACGATGGAGCACGCCTACCTATGAGCAACCTGTTCACTCGGGACTTGAAGACACCCAAGTCATATTTGACGTGAAACAACTAGTGTCGTGTTTTGATGTGTAATTCTCAAATCCCTAACCCTCATAAGGCCGGTAATACACTTGTAACTCCTTTGGTGTTATGGACTGCACCGATTGCTTACCATCAGGTGCATCATCTCTGATTCATGGTGGATGTCTCACCCACACGCACGAAGCGTTTCGTATCAACCTTCCTTGTCCGTACTGCTAAGGAGTGAAATTCTTTGCCAGAGTCTCTGTTTCCTAAGGGGTACCCGGGTGTCTGGTGTATTACTAACATGGCATTGAACACCAACTATTGTTGTACAACTTTTTAAAATCCACGTATGTTTTATCATTCAACAGGGCGGCGGTGGCGGCGGCGGCAGAGGTGGTAGGGGGGGTGGCAACTTCAACTCCAATTCCAGCTTCAACAACTCCAATTCCAACTTTAACAACTCCGGCCCAAGTGGAGGAGGAGGGGGACAGGGGGGACATGGAGGACGCGGGGGACGAGGGGGGCGCGGGGGACGGGTGCAGGGCGGATATAGCCAGGGGGGCGGAGACCATGGCAGGTAGGAGACTGATGGACACTTTTATTCTCTCTAAGGGCATACATTTTAGATAATGAACTATTTTGTTGTGTTTTGTAAGTAATAATGTAAGCATACTATAAAATCGATAGCTGATTGATAAAAAAGACTAAATATATAGAACAGATTAATATTATTATAGTTAACTAAAATCGCGGGTTACTCACGTGAATATACTGAGAAAAGCTCTACTAGTCTGCCGCGACCGCGCACGCTGCTCATGAGGAAGAACCCCTCTGTGGTTCGAAACTAGTAGAGCTTTTCTCAGTATATTCACGTGAGTAACCCGCGATTTTAGTTAATTCAGTATGTCTCACGATAATTATTGTAGTTGTTATGTAAATATGTATATTTTTATTAATTTTGTGTGATTATTTTTATAAATTGTAGATATTATGTAGGTATAATAGTTATAATTGTAATATACGTAGTGTATTTTTCGATATACGTAATTATTATTAGTTTGTGTATGTTTTTTTAATAAATTAATATGAATAGCATGCATTCTTCTTATATCCTGTTGTGCTTTGTCCAATTTATGTGTGTAATGATATTGTATTGGGACATTTATTTTTTCCTAATATGTTGATACTAGCTGAACTACGTACTGCCTAAAATGTAGATATTTTAGTCAATCCAAAAATTATTTACTTAGACTATTTGATACCTACAATAAAATGACCAAAAATAATCAATTTACTTATTTGTTTTTCGAATTCATTATTATATTTTTCGACTTAAGTCTGTTCAGCCGTTTTCGAGGTTTTCAAATGACAAACGAACAGCAATAAAATTTTATATTAACCCTTTGAGTACCGTCATTATAGACACACTAGCTTTTACCCGCGGCTTCGCTCGCGTCCCAAAAGGATAAAAAGTAGCCTATGTGACACACAGCGCCATCTATACCAATAATTTCATTTTCCCTCGAGAATATAAAATTTGTCCGGGATTATAAGTATCCTATTATTTAATCCAGACTTCTAACTTTACGTCTGCAAAAAATCAAAGCAATCGGTTTAGTAGTTACGGCGTGAAAGCGGAACAAACAAACAAACTCACTTTCCGATTTATAATATTAGTAAGGATTTAAAGAACAATAGGTTGCGGTCACCGGTATCCTCGCAGTGTTTGACAGTTTAAGGAACTTTTTTCTTAATTAAACTTGATTGCGTTTGGCACTGAGTATTAACCATTTTTTCTCGGAGATTGTATAACCTGACTGGTTACCAGGGCTCAGAATCGAAGCAGGATTAGGTACGGGTGGTTTTTAGTCAGTAAGAGTGAGGCTTTAGTACGTGATTCGTTTACGTTGAAAGTTATCGAAACGAGTACGCGTTCGGCGCTGTGATTGGCCGGCTTCAATGAACCAACCAATAAGAGTACCAAGCACGAATAACTATCGGAATCGTAACATAATAGTATCGAGCGCGTTAGGCGCTTAGAGTGCCAAGCACGAATAACTATCGCATTCGTATCGTAACAGTATCGAGCGCGTTCGGCGCTCTGATTGGCCGGCTCAAGTGTACCAACCAATCAGAACGCTTAGCTCGCTCGATACTGTCACGATACGAATGCGATAGTTATTCGTGCTTGGCCCTCTGATTGGTTGGTTTACTGGAGCCGGCCAATCAGAGCGCCGAACGCGCTCGATACTATTACGTTACGATGGCGATAGTTATTCGTGCTTGGTACTCAGAGCGCCGGACGCCGTCTCATTTCGATTATTTTAAACGAAAAAGAAACTCGTACTAAGCTCTCTCATACTCTCTCTCTCGCCTCGCCCAAGGCGGGAGACGTCACTGGATGATTTTCTCGCCTCAAAATAGTATTAATCTGTCAAACACCAAGCGGTCACCGGTGACCGCGACCTATTGTTCTTTAATTGTGTCTATAAAACCGGTACTCGACGAGTTAATCCAGATTTGGTTGAATGAAAGTATTGTGACTAGAACTTTTGTCATATCCTTACTAATATTATAAATCGGAAAGTGAGTTTGTTTGTTTGTTTGTTCCGCTTTCACGCCGTAACTACTAAACCGATTGCTATGAATTTTTACAGACGTAAAATTAGAAGTCCGGATTAAATAATATAATACTTTTGATCCCGGAAAAATGTGATATTCACAAGGGAAAACAAACGTATGAGTATAGATGGCGCTCTGTGTATTGGTATATGTCACATAGACTACTCTTTATCCTTTTATGACGCGAGCGAAGCCGCTGGTAAAAACTAGTTTTATCTAAAACGAATTGTCAGTCATTTCAAGTTTATATCTATACAGATAAATAAAATTGGAGTGTCTGTTTCATCATCATCAACAGCCTATAAATACCCACTGCTGAGCAAAGCCTCTTCTCACACAGAGAAGGTTAGAGCATTACTTAAAAAAAAATTGTAAGTTAAAAAAATAAAATATAATAAATAAGCCTTTATTACTGAAGTTACAAATTTACAATTCATTCACTATTATTATACATCATTACTTTTATCTCCAGCTTGCCCTTTAGCATAGGCATCCAAAGATTTCTACTTTTATTTATTTTTTTATTAATTCACACAATGGGTAATATGGATATATAATGGCGGACTTAATGCCCAGTGGCATTCTCTAACAGTCAACCTTAGGGTGATGCAGAGAGACATTGGTAGGAGTAAAAGTTTTCCCTATCCCTTGCAGATCTCATCCACTCTGGTCCAGCAGTTCTCTTTAGGTCATCTTCCCAACGCTTTGGTTGCCGCTTTTTTTTTAAGGGGGGAAAATCATCGAATGACTGCTCCCGCCTGGGTGAGGCGGAAGGGAGTGTCAGACTCTTACTGACTAAAAACCACCCCGTTCCTTCTCCTGCACGTCGAGCAGGAGCCCCGGTTACCCGTTAGGCGCCCTTTGCCCCTTGTCCCATCTTTATGGCACCATTCTGATATTGTCTTTGTCCATTGCAAGTTATATAAAACCTTGTAAATAATAATTGGGTACTTGCCAACTAGTAAAATTCAATACTTTTTTCGAACTGTCAAAAACGACAGTTTTCTATGAATTTTGTACGAGATTGTGTATTGTGACGTCACCTTTTTTAAGCGTCAAACAGCTTAGTTATTTCTTAAAAATTTGCTGGAGAAATACTAAAATTAAGTTATTCATAAAATCAATTAATAAAAGTGTGATTATTTTTTAATATTTTATTGTATTGAACAGTCGAAATAGTTTATTTTTGATTGAGACAAGTACCCAATTTGTGAAACCTTATTTTGATGATTTTTAATTATATTTATTGTTTTAGTAACTCTTCTACGCAAAAAACGAACTGAATACGTTTAAATGAAAGGTATAGAGATAGATTGCCGCCTGGGTAATAATACATAGGGTGCATTTCATCCCGGCAACGCAGGCGAATCTGTTGGCAGGACCTAGTACTGTATAAATTAATATTCTCTCACCAGGCCCCAACAAAACAGAAACTACCAGACGTACGAGGTTCCCCCGGGTGGTTACAGCAACCAGAACCAGTACGGCCAGGCACACACATACGAGCCAGACCAGAACTACAACCAACATAACCAGGGCTACAGTGGTTATAGCCAAGGTGGTTACGACAGTATGGGCACCTATAATCAGGGGTATCAAGGTATGTTGGACAATTTAACTATTTAAATGGGGGCCCAATTCTCCCCCGTCTCCATATTCCTGTGTTACGGGTGATCCGTCTATCGCTTACTGCACTATGATATAAACAAAAATGTCGAATTTTTCTTAGTTTTGTGAGAAGTGTTTGACGATGTACTGGTTCATTCAGTACACAGTCTGCTAATGGATAAAAATTATTAGTACAATGGAATTAACAAGAAACTCAAAGATTAATTATTATGTTTTCGGCTTTCTCACGTAACTGCTTAACGAGGAACTCAACTAGTTTCAAGCCATGTTAAAGACTCATATTTTTATGAGCAGCATTCAGCGGATCACGTCGCCGCGCGTTGCGCTGCTACACTGCTACCCGAGGCTACCCGAGTCTAGAATGGCTTGAATTTAGTCGAGTTCAAACAGTTACGTGAGTAAGTCGAAAACATTATAATTAATTTACTATGTCTCACGAGTTATAATATAAATTCAGAATGTAATTCTTAGCAGTCGAAATTGCTATAATTCTGCCAATCTACGATTGCTTCAGAGTACTTGGTGCAGTCACCATTTTATTGTATTTTTTGTATTGCATAAGCCGGTAAGCGAGCATACGGATCATCTGATGGTAAGCAATCGGCGTCGCCCATTGACACCTGGAACACCATGGCGTTACAAGTGCGTTACCGGCCTTTTGGGGATTAGGAGTTTGTGGATCATTGGGGATTCAGTAATTGCCATTTAATATTTCGCTAACGTAAAACAGGGTGGCTGAATAGAATTCAAAGGGTGAATACATAAGGGAATGAGGTAAATAAATATTAGAACACTTTCCCAATAATATTAATTCACCTCGTTTCACTGTTGCGTATATGTTTTTTTTTATATGCGATTAGTTGGTTAGCGAGCAGACGGATCACCTGATGGTAAGCAATCGGTGTCGCTCATGGACACTTAGAACACCCGAAGAATGTGAGGATTGTTGGGATTCAGGGATTCGGGTGATTGGGAAGGGGTGGAGGGGGTAATTGGGCTTCCGATAACCTCACTCACACGACGCAACAACGCAAGCGTTGTTTCACGTCGGTTTTCTTTGAGGCCGTGGGATAATAACATAGTTTTTTTAACAGAGTAACGAATGGAGTTTCTTGCTCGTTCTTCTCCATTCGAATCTACATTTTGGAATGGCACCTAGCTTTACCTACCTTCACTGTCGGACAGACTGGCAGACTATTATTTATTTTGTATTTGTTGACGTTTCAAAAGTACCGAATTATGGTTTAATTGAAATAAATGACTTTAACTTTGAGTACCACTTCGGTCGAGGCGGGCCATTCGTGCAGATGCATGATTCATACTTTGTTGTCAGGTGGCGGCGGCGGCGGCGGCGGTGGCTACAAAAAACCGTACCAAAATAATCAACAAGGCTACCAACATAACCAGGGCTATCAGCCCAACCAGGGCTATCATCAGCCTAGAGGTGGCTATCAGAATGAACACGACGATAGAGACAGACGTGGCCGAGGAGGCTACAGGGGCGGCAGACGTTGATCTTCATCAGTAACATGTTTTAACAGCGCATACTACTTATAAATTTCATTATTATTGTTCTTTTAGGCCAATTCATAATGGGTCCTGTATTCATTTATGCTTTTGTTTATAAACATACAATTTAAAATTTATGCCTTGTGCCGAAATTGAATATAATTAATTTATTTTTCTAAATAACACTTTTAGCAACTGAACGTTTTTTTTTAATATAATAACAGCATAGTACGAACGCAAGGGCCGTCATTCATTATTTAAAATTTTAAACATTAACTGAAAGCTTTGTACGAATTTCTTTTACGTTTAAATTATTCGAAATGAGTATGCGCTGTGATTGGTCGGCTTCAATGAACCAACCAATCAGAGCGCCAGACGCGGTGTTGTCTCGATTATTTTTTCTCTTTATTAAAATACTAGCGACACGCCCCGGCTTTGCACGGGTGCAGTATGCATATATTATACATATAAACCTGCCATAGGAATCACTCTATCTATTTAAAAAAAACCGCATCAAAATCCGTTGCGTAGTTTTAAAGATCTAAGCATACAAAGGGACAGACAGACGACGGATAGCGACTTTGTTATATACTATGTAGTGATAAAAAGAGTCTTTAAATGTAAGGGGATTATGCCAGGCTCATCGTGACCTTGAGGATTATTGTAGCGAGCGAAAAATCTGTCCAAACTACATACGAGCCCCGTCACAGTATGGTTTCGACAGAATGGACTGAAAAGCACATATTTCTGTAGCATTAAATTTCGATTACTTTAGACGTAAAAAAACACGTACTAAGCCCCAAAGGGCAAATTATTTAACAAATTAAACAACTTATTTTACTTGTATTCGATTCGAGTCTCAATAAAAATGATATATTTATGTATGTAAGTCTGGCATCTGTCGTCATATAATCTTATACTATTATATAAAGCGGAAGAGTTTGTTTTTTTGTTTGTTTGTCTGAACGCGCTAATATCCGTAACTACAAGTCCGATTTGAATAATTATTTTTGTATTGGATAGCGCATTTATCGAGGAAGGCTATAGGCTATAAAATATCACGCTACGATTAATAGGCTCCGAGCAGAGCGAGTGAAACCGCGCGGAAGTAGCTAGTTAATAATAATAGATAACAAGCAGGTTGTAGGTAGTGCATTACAAAGTATACTGTGATCAAAACAGACTGGGTTTTCCATAATTAATAATATTTGCGAAATTCTCAAATAGAAATTAATATACCGATGTTCAAAATGTTTGTGAAACTTTATTAGTACTCATTTGTCTTGTTACATTCGTAGTTCCGATGGTTTTATAGAAAATCTCCGTTGATATCCGAAATGAGTCAATGAAAATGTTTGTCGCTTTTTCTTATTAACTGAATATGTTATCATTATTTTAGTCCAATAATATAAGATTTAGCAATATTTATATAAACTGTGTGCTATAAATGTACTTACAATATATCTTCCAATAATTGTTATTCGTGATTTCATTGGACATTCATAATATAGTTTCGGCACGAATGGGCCGGCACGACCGGAGTTGAACTTGAGCTTGCGTTGTGTTTCGTCATGTGAGTGAGGTTACTGCAGGCCCAATTATCCCTCCTACCAATCCCTTAATCTCCTACAATCCTCAAATTCCTATTCCCTAAAAGGCCGGCAACGCACTTGTTACGCCTCTAGTGTTTTGGGTGTTCATGGACGGCGACGATTGCTTACCATCAGGTGTCCGTCTGCTCGTTTACTGGATTATCCTATCTTTAAAAAATACCTATTTTATTTATTAAAATTTTGTTCTCAATAGTGGCTGGAAACTAGTTGAGCATTCTCTAATAGTTTCGAGTAAACAGTGTTTTTAATAAATCTGAAATGTTCTATGAGCTCACGGATTCCGGGCTTAACTTAACTAGCAAATAATAATAGAAACAATATATAGATATAATATAATAAAAATAAGTGATATTGAGTACTGTATGAAATACGACCTACATTATGTATTTTTATTCTAATGTATTTTGATAACTTCGCGAGGAAATCACCTGAAATAGTATAATAAATATTTGCCCTGTTAACCTTTTACCTGTTACGTTATGAGTCTCATGTAATAGGGGGTGAGCTTATTGCCATATACTGGGCACAGTGCCGGACTCCATATTGTTACTGAGCGATTTTTGAACCCCATTTTTCCGACCTAGAAAGTTGTATGAAGAGATAATTTAAAATGTAACACATGAAATGATATATTTTTTTACATACACCCATGATTCTTCGCGAAGTTATTAAAACGACTTGAACTCTTGACATTTAAATAGGTATTATTCCATTTGAAATTATATACAACTCGCATATACCTCGCCAAAATGCTCGGATTTCATTACCTATGCGTATAAAAAATTATCTATAATGTTTAACCAAAAATTCTAATTAAAATTATCTATTAAATATTATGTTGTTATATATGAATGGTTCCTTTTTTAATTTTGCGTTGAAATGGAATCTCCTTTTGTCGTTAGTACTTATTTAAGCAATAATTTCGAAACAGATTATAAATAGGCTTAAATATCTCTCAGTTCATGTTCAAGTACACAAGAACTGTCAATTTATTTAATTTAAATAGTTGTTTAATGTATAGTGTCGTACGAATAACATTAGTATGTAATTATACCGCTGCTGTGGAAAAGGTACGGAGAAATAAAGCGCGGATTAACAATTTCATAATTATATTAAAAAATAAGTTCAGGTTTCATAACAATGTATTCTCTCATGTTGCCTAATTTGTATTGTTTGTTGATTAACTATGTTCTTAGCGCGCGTTATAATTCTAATTACAGACTCGAGGCCTTCAAGAAATAGCAATATGTATTAATTTAGCATTGACAATGTTACTAATAAGCTAATATTTAATTGATTTATTTATTATTGTAATGCAGTTGGCTGTAGTCTCTTCTGATTACAAGTTTTCTTACTTATTGAATAAATTATATTATGGATATTGTGTTGTTTTATTTGATAGTTTTGTAATAATGTTTTTTATTGTATGGACACTTGATTAATGTAAGATAGCAGTCTGAGCGTTCATCTATATGGCACTGCCCATTACGCTAGTTCCCTGTTTGATTCCCGCCGGCAATGGAATGGGAACACGCACAGCGTTTTATCTACCACCTCGGTGTAAGTAAAATAGGTATAGAAAAATCAGATCCTATGTTTGCTTTAAATTCCGTTAAAATTAAGACTACGATGTACACATGGCAAGCGTAAAGAGCGCGTTTAAACCTCCATAAAATTTCCTACATTTCTGACATTACAATGTATGTCAAATGCATGTAGTTGTAAGCGCGGGCATGTGAAGATGTCGTAAAGAAAACAAAAGAAATAATTCGCAGATTTTTTATTGCATAGAAAAAGTATTTACATTTTCTTTACTAAACTATAATGGTTTACGTAATTATGCACAACGTTAAATGCAAACTTATGTTGTTAGAAATAGAATACAGATTACAAGTCTTCGGTACTCCACTTATAGGCTTCTTCTTCTTGTGCCTTGCGCTTGCTTTGTTGTTCGAAGAATTTCTTTTCATAGCCATTGGAGCGGTCGACACCATCCCATCGGTAACCGGGACGAATGTTGAACCGATTTGGCGGGAAATTGCCCTTGTATACTGGTTTTTCTGAGGACAAAAAATAATATGTAGGTGAGCGATATTTGGGCACGATTAGGCCTGTTCGAATAGGACCACGGGCTCACAGAAAAATGGTATAAAACATCGCCAGTGTGAGTGAGGCTACCGGAAACCCAATATTAAAAATACCTGTTTTTTTATGGAATAGGAGGCAAACGAGCAGACGGATCACCTGATGGTATTGGACACCCGCAACACCAGAGGAGTCACAGGTGCGTTGCCGGTCTTTTAAAAAGGAGTACGCTCTTTTCTTGAAGGTTTGAAGGTCGTATCGGTTCGGAAATACCGCCGAAGACAGATGATATCCAAAAAGCCCGCAAGGCAAGTACCACCACTGATTTGGCGGGTGTTCTTGAGCGGCGCCGATTAATTACCATCAGGTAAAACGTCAGTTGTTTATCGACCTATTTTATAAAATTAAAGTGATCATTTACCTGGCCCTAGCTCCCCTCTTTCTCGTTTCCGATCCCTCATGTACTGTAACATGGGGTCTCCGTCCCTCTCCACTTGTCGCAGACTGTGCTCAAGGTCCTTATCACCGCGGAGACGGGCCAGAGGTTTCGAGGACTCGTGCATAAACTCCTGAACACGAGCCTCTTGCTCTTCCAGTTGTTTTATCCTGAAATAGATTTGCAATAATAACTATAAGTACTAATTGCCGGAATTTTTGTTATAAATGCGTTATGTACTTTGGTATGGCAAAATTAAATAGTTCCTTAAGTGACCGCTATAGGCGCTGCAAAGTATTTTGTAAAATAGTTACTCACCCTTTAGACCATTTCTTGTACTTTTCATCCAATTCTTTCTGTCTATCAGCCTTTTCTTTTTGCTTTTGCCTGTCTTCCGACGTTTCTCGTTTCACTGCAAGAGTAAATATATAATTACTTACTATTAAAACAATAGTTTTATTGCATTTACAAAGTTATAGTTTTAATCATGATACCGTTGATTTTGATCAGAGAAAGCGTCTAAAAACAATACAGTTATCATGTTCCCGACACCTAATTCACCAAAAATGAAATTGACTCTATTTTATAAGAGACAGAGAAGAACAGTGTACATAACATATTACACTTAGCTATTTAAACTGTCAAACACCAAGCGGTCACCGGTGACCGCGACCTATTGTTCTTTAATTGTGTCTATAAAACCGGTACTCGACGAGTTTAGACACAGATAGTGGCAGTGACAAATGAAAGAAGGACACAAAGCAAGAAATAACTCCATTAAGTTTATACTCACATTTCCTTGACACGGCCTGTGCATTCCTTCCAGAAACTTCATCAGACATCTTATTGAAAACTTCATCTTCTTTTTTCCTAAAAGTTTCATTCTCTTGTCTCAACTGTCTTGCATCTTGCAAACCCGCCATCTTGCCTTCTAGAGTCTTCGCCATCTTCTTGTTAGAAGGTGGAGGGTTATCATTTCCTCTCTTTCTATTTTTATCAGGATTATCTTTATAGCTCCTTTTAGGTGATTGATTTGGACTTCTCCTTTTAAGTGACTTGTCATTGCTTCGTTTCGTACTATCATGTCTGTTAATATGTGTTCTTCTGGGAGACCTGATATCCCTTTTTCTAGGAGGACTGAAGTCACTATCACTGTTGTTATTCTTAGAAGCTTTCCTTGGAGGAGACAGGTCAGAGTCATTTGGACTTCTCCTTTTAAGTGACTTGTCATTGCTTCGTTTTGTACCATCATGTCTAGAGGGAGATCTGGTGATATTTCTTCTATTAGGAGACCTGTCAGGACTTTTTTTAGGAGATTTGTTACTCTTTCTTCTAGGAGGACTAAAGTCACTGTCACTGCCATGATTTTTAGTAGCTTTACGTTTTTCAGTATCCTGTTTTCTTGGTGGAGAAAGATCAGAATCATTTGGACTTCTCCTTTTAAATGACTTGTCATGGTTTCTTTTTGTGCTGTCATGTCTATTTATTTGTTTTCTGCTGGGAGACCTGTCAGGACTTCTTTTAGGAGACCTGTTATCCCTTTTTCTAGGAGGACTAAAGTCACTATCACTGTCGTGCTTTTTGGAAGATTTTGGTTTTTCAGAATCCTGTTTTCTCGGTGGAGAAGGGTCAGAATCATTAGCCTTTTCGTCTTCAGAGTCGCTGTACATTTTACCAAAAATCAGTTCATTTTCTTTCTCTGCCTGTTTTATGTCTCTTTTTATCTCTTCTATTTGTATTTTACTGTTGAATCCATCATCCTGTGAATACAATTTTGGTTACTTTCTACTTCACACCTATTATTTCAGTTTCCTGAAAGTTGATAATGTTGACATGTATTGTTTAATTCTAGTTTCGAGAAAATTGCTAATTACTTTTGGTTATAATAATGAAGGGAAAAGAACCCACTTACTTGTTCCTCTCTCAATATACAAATAGTAATATTGTAAATAATTTCAAAATGGATGCAGTTTAATCTGCATTTTAGGAGGCAAAATGTTTGGCTAAGAGCCCTAAGTAATTATTTATTATCTCAAGAATATCTATCTAATATTGAGGCAGTCCCAGTAAGTTATAATACAATACTTTTGTGGGGCCTAACTCGCTCCTTCCTTTATTTCTTTTTCATTCTTAAGAATAATGACTTGACTTGATCTGTAAATGACCTAATTTACAGTTCAGGTAATAAATTAGTTTATTTAATGATTAAAATTGTTATTGATTTTACCTGATTAATAACTTTCCATTTGGTGCTAGAACTGAACTGCTCAGCTTTTCTGATTTCTTCTGGCCTGTCATCAATAATGCCTACAATCTGGGGAGCATCCTCTCCCTGGTCAAACACATCTAGTTCATCACCTTCCAGGGTGCGGAGCTTTGACAGGTCAATGTCATCATCAATTATTTTCAATCTGGAATTAAAGGTTAATTTATATCAAGTGTTACATTGTTCTGGTATGATAGAACTGGCTTAAATGCTTGAATACTGAATACTTTATAAGCCACAATAGAAAATATATTGTGTCTCCTTTAGATCTGTGTTCTGGCCAAAGACGTTAAAAAAAGGCGGACAAGGTGGACAATGTCACTTAGAAATGATTGATAATGTCAGTGGTGTATTCACAAGTGTGCATGTAGTTACAACACCATAATGTATGAAGTCTAATGATGGGCCATGTCACGCAACAGATGTCTTTCGTGTCAATGTGTGTGTATTCTGCATGTAAGTCTATAGTAGCCAGGTGCACAGTCGTTGTTTCAAGAGACTGTGTCTGCCTTTATCTACATCCTTAGTTCTAGCACACCAAATGTTAATAATGCAACTTGCAATGTTATTGTGAAACTGACTGAAAAAGAGTTCCCATTTCTTTCCTTTTCTTCTCCATAGGAATCTACAGATTTTCCTAACCAATAAATAGTATCACTAGGGCACTGACAGACTGATGCTATGCATCAAAATATTTCACCTAATGAAACCTTTGTTATTGCACTACATTAAGTAATATATTATGTCATTATTTTGACTATGTATGATATTTGTTAGTGTTTTGGTCCTCTATTAGCATCACCATGAGTGTGTTGGACCAGTGAAGTAGCAACTACAGAGCGGCAAGTTGGCAAAATGCTTTCATCTGAACTTCTCTATTATATATTGGGAATGTGGGACCCATCCAATGAATTTGCCACGGGCTCTGACATGTATAATTTAGTTACACCACTGTGTTGGACCCAGCAGACAACTATAATATGGTCTTAGACATATTAATATTCAAACACCATTGTATCCTTTGGTTAGGCCCCACAAAAAATTCTTCAATTCAACTTTTGTATGTTACTTAATGTAGGTAAACAAACAGGAGATAAAAGATTTAGAATTATTGATACAATTTCATCAGTTTCTTGATTGAGACATTTGGTTTCAGGAAATTAAGTTACCTTTCAAACTGTCTATTTTAATTTTCTGTATAGACTGATTTTCACAGAATGTAATGGTGGTAGTAATCTCCATGAAGCACTATTATGCATACCTTGTTAGTTTAGACGTACTACATACATTTTTTGGTCTTCATAATGTTGTAGATTGTGTCAAAAAACGAGGGACATGCATCAATGTTTTTCGTTAAAAAAATATATTGAGAAGATATGCATGACAAATAGAGAATGCTGTTGCGTATAAGTAAAGTAAGAATAAATATCAAATTACTGCTTCTATCAAAAAATCTCTAAGTTTATTAAAAAGTAACATACCCAGATCCTTTGATAGCTTTTTTCTTCTTTTTCTTTTTGTCTCCCGACGGTCCACTCAAATATTTTTGTAAATACGCTTTTTGGTTTATAGTTGTACCCATTTTAATTAATTTTAAAAGGTTTATAGCTAATATTATCTATTTTGATACAATAGTAAAAGACATCACGTTGTCAAACTTCTGACTTGTTCAAGCTTTCTTTCGGAATTCGTTCGTCTGACATTACATTTCTTGAAGTGCTGTTCAAAAGGTTAGCATGATAATATGATATGCCTTTTTCTTCAACTTGCGATAACGTGAGACCAAAATATCATTCATGCTAAAAATACCAAGAATTTCAGAAGAAAGAATGAACTATAACTAATATCATTCTGTCATGCACAAGCACATGACGTTTCGAGTTTTCAAACTATTTGAATCATAGAGAAAGACAATTTTTTTTTGCTTTTAAAAAATGTATCGATTGGACAATGAAAAATTATAAATTCTTTCCTTTTATTTTTTTTACTATAAGAACAATAAAACTAAAATGGCGTCACCCATAATAATACAATGGTGAATACAAGGACGTTGACGAGATGAACATGGTGTAAACTTTTTAAGTTTCCTAGTTTATTATTTAATACAACAACATCGAAAAATGATCAAATAATTTAATTGTACGTTTTAGTCTTGTAGTTATTATTTCTTTCATACATTTAATAAGTATTTAGTTTAGTTCATTTTTAGTTTAATATTACGTATGACAAAATTAACTAAAAATCGCGGGTTACTCACGTGAATAGAGTCTATCAAGCGAGTCTAGTCCCATGAAAAAGGCGCAAATTAAAAATCTTTGACGTGTGTCTGTGACATTGATATAGCACGCTGAAAACTTATTGACTTGAATTTTTGATAAAAAACATATTTGAAATAAATAAAAAAACATAACATACATAACATCACGCCTTTTACGTTCACGCTTGACCCGGGAATCGAACCCGAGACCCCTTGCCCGGCAGTCACACTTGCGACCACTCGGCCAACGAGGCAGTCTTAAGAAAAAACAATCAATAAGTTTTCCGCGTGCTATATCAGTGTTGACACCTGAAATATTTTTGAATTAGCCACCTTTTTCATGGGACTAGACTCGCTTGACAGACAATATACTGAGCTCTACTAGTTTCGAACCACAAAACCTTTATTCCCGCGATTTTTAGTTAATTTAGTATGTCTCATGATAGTTAGTTAGTTAGTTTTCTATCCGTATTATTTTGCATGTAAACTTTGCATGTTGTGATGTACGATTTTTATGACGTCATCCGTTGACATGTAACATGTGTCGCCACAGTGAAACATCTACCGATACCGACATATTCAGATTGTCAAACGTATCCACGGATACAGACATATTCAGATTGTCAAACATCTACAGATACTGACATATTCAGATTGTCAAACAATTACAGATACCGACATGTTCAGATTGTCAAACATCTTCAGATACTGACATATTCAGATTGTCAAACACCAACAGATACCGACATATTCAGATTGTCAAACAAGTACAGATACCGACATATTCAGATTGTCAAACAAGTACAGATACCGAAATATTCAGATTGTCAAACAACTACAGATACTGACATATTCAGATTGTCAAACATATCGACAAATACTGACATATTCAGATTGTCAAACATGTACAGATACTGACATATCCAGATTGTCAAACATATCGACAGATACCGACATATTCGGATAGTCAAAAATATTTTTACGTCAAAAGAAATCTACGGATACCCACATAATTGGAAACTCAAACCTATATGTTTGAAACCGGCAAGATACTTTGGCAATGCGTAGAGATGTAGCTTCGTTGTGCATTTCCTATCACTTATACCACGGGGATTGCTCTGAGGGATTGCTCTGATACCTGCCTTTGACCCCTTTTCGCCATTGACCCTCACGACAGCATATGCATCCCCATCATGTAGATGATTATCTGTCCACAACTGTGCGCTTCTCATGTAGCTTTCTGCGTCACACAGTAAAACTGTGGAATGATCTGTCGTCGGCGGTATTTACGAACCGATACGATCTTCAAACCTTCAAGAAAAGATCGTATTCCTTTTTTAAAAGACCTGTGACTCCTCTGGTGTTGCGGGTGTACATGGGCAGCGCTGATCGCTTACCACCAAGTGATCCGTCTGCTCGCTTGCCTCATATTATATTGGCCTACCTTTAATTTTGCATAGCCTACCGTAAAATTGTAAGGAGTACCCACTTAGTTGTGAAAATGTCAGTAACAACTACACAAGAACAGTTAAACAGTTTATTGAATACAATCAAAGCTGATGCAAGTCAATATGCAATTGGTGCCGCTTTAATGCAGGGGAGGGCGATAACGAACACCCTGTCGAATACGCAAGTAGACTTCTTACATCTGCAGATTGCAATTACTGTGTAACAGACACCTTGTCCAGTCGCGGGTTTACCACCGGGGCTCCGGTTCGACGTGCAGGAGAAGGAACGGGGTGGTTTTTAGTCAGAAAGAGTGACACTCCCTCCCGCCTCACCCAGGCGGGAGCAGTCATTCGATGATTTTCCCCCATTAAAAAAAAGACCACCATGCACACAATATGATGTTAAAGATTATACTTTATATTATAAAGAAATCGATTACTAAAGTATAACGAAAAACAAATTCGTTGAACATCAAGATATGAAGTCGCAAGCACAAAGGCACCAGAACCATCCATAGAAAAATATCATACTTCAGCAATATGTAAATTTGAACAAAGAGATGACAATGTACCCAAAACATTTCATTCCATCAGACAAAGAGGGAGACCGAGGAAGATGGATACTGTTCTTGGTACTCAGTCGGGACGACTATAGAGTACCAGAGGGGAAGAATGTAACGGACACCCAGCGCCATCTAGTATAATATATTCAAAACAACTTCAACTACAAACAAATATTATGAAGATTGAACACACATGTCACATTAAATATGTATTCGAACTGATTTTTAGCGAAAAATCGCGCAGTTATAAAAAAACAATACAGCGTCTGTTTGTCACTGCGGTACAGCCGTGACTGTCTGCACCCCGAGCGCACCCCGACATCGAGGCGCGTAGGCGAGATGCCTACTGTCGAATAAATGTTTTTTCTTTTTTTTCTTTCTTTCTTCTTTCTAGGTATAGCTCGCGTTTCGTGCGTTTGTATAATGTTGGAATACTCTAAGATATTACTACCGTGGTAATTTTTTTTATGGCATAAGCCGGTAATCTAGCAGACGGATCACCTGATGGTAAGCAATCGGCGTCGCCCATGGACACCCGGGACACCAGAGGCGTTACAAGTGCGGTACCGGCCTTCTGGGGATTGAGAGTTTGAGGACCGTTGGGGATTCAGGGATTGGGGATATTGGGGAAGGGGAGGGTAATTGGGCCTCCGGTAACCTCACTCACACGAAGAAACACAACGCAAGCGTTGCTTCACGTCGGTTTTCTATGAGGCCGTGGTATCACTCCGGTCGAGCCGGCCCATTCGTGCCGAAGCATGGCTCTCCCACACTTAAAATACGTAATAATTATTTCGTTGTAAAATCATAGTCATTCGTAATGAGGTTATAAAAAAAACAAAATTGCTACAGCTATAGGCACTGTTTAATATTTTTTTCATTGTTGCTTTTCTATATATAAATAAACATATGTCAGGTCCATTGGCGAGTAGCAGTATGTCGTTTAAATATATCACATTTGTTGACGTTTCCCAACTTGTGTTTTCACTATTAGGGAATTTTACTTCAAATTCCAATCTGCACTGAAAAATAAATAAATAAGATTTAGTAAATAAACATTACTTACACATTTATCACGCCTTTTATCCCCGAAGGGGTAGGCAGAGTTGCACATTACAGCGCTTAATGCCACTGTAGGTACAATGCAACATCCACTTTTAATTATTTATGTTATGGGTTCCGTGTAATAGGGGGTGAACCTATTGCCATATACCGGGTATAATTCCAGACTCCGTGCTACTATGGAGATTTTTTTAAAACCCATTAACACGTATATTGTCCTACCCGGGAATCAAACCCGAGACCCCTTGCCCGACAGTCGCACTTGCAGCCATTCGGTAAACGAGGCAGTAAAAATTAAATGTTATTAAAATCACATATTGAAATGAAATAAAATGAAAAGAGTTTATTCGGCATATATGCAAGGAACAAAAAATAACAATACAATTTGATAAAATAACAATATAAAAGTTTAACACAAGAGAATGAGAATAAAAGATAAAAGCTAAATTATAAAACTAGAAGATAATAAAAATAGGTCTGACATAGGTAGGTACTGCGCGATATTGGCAGACATATCCAAGCCGAATGGGTACATACCTGTGATCATCTCTTCTCTAGAAATGAGAAATAAAAATCGTAAAATAATTACCGTTATATTAAATTCATAGTTATAAACACAATGTATACAGATAAATTAGAGTGTCTGTTTCGAATATCAAAATAACGGCATTTTACTACATGCATACGAATATATGTTTCCGTTTCCGTTTTTTTTTAGGGACAAACCCGCCACAACCTCCCGAAACCGCTGCAACTCCTGTAAGCCAGGATCTACACTAGATACAACCATGAAAACAGCGGAACACTGAAGTCTGGCGCGTCCTAGGGACATGAGTAACTGTCTTGGTTCCCGCAACGAAGTGAATCAAAAGATATTATAAGAGGAGAAGAAAAAAAACGATAGTTTCCACTTCCCTCGGTGAATTACTGCAGGAGACAGAATGAATATATATGAGCCTAAAGGCACAAAAAACCAAAAACTAATAACAAACAAAAAGTCAAAACTAAAAAGCAAAAAATAACTATTATTAGTACTGATAGGTTACCCACCCACTGATAGGTAAGAAGTCGGTGCCATAAGTTCCATACAAAATTATTCATTAAAACCTTAATAGGTACCTAATTCACAATTTTGTGGACAGTTATATCATTATGATATGAGCGACATAGTGTTACGTTCATACTCCCAGAGCATGCGAACATTGGCACCATGGTGAATCAATAAGTTTAAATGAGAATAATTTGCTTTTAA